GACGGAGCCTGAAGCCTTTGCACCACACCGAAAAAAAGGTACAGTGTGCAAAATAGCTAACAATATTTATAAGGTACTTCAGTCGCAATTTGCGAGATCTCTAGAAAATATTTTAAGTGCTAGAAGCGTAGTTCGGTTGCTGGCTATTGCAACGTCAGAGAGGACACTTTTTTTTAAGTCAGAGCTCGTAATGTATCAGTTTTCTGAAGGCGCGTAGCGAATTGTCACAAGTAAATTATCTGAACTCCATTGCGCAGCAACTATATGAACGCCTAGTGTTGCAGCATCCTTTGATAGCGTTAAATTTGGACACGAGTATACTCACGTCTCTTATCTACACCTCCACAAAACTTGCTCGTTGGTGAAGGCCGTATGGAATATGTAAGAGTGGACAACTTACATGCGAAATAGAAAAAAAGTCACATTTACAGATGAGCGTGGCACAATTTGAGTGGTTGAGGCACAGGGCTTGCCGCATGCACAGCATCATCTGTCCTAACTCCTTGACTAGAGAATGAGCCGGGAATCTACACAAATAATAATATGTCATAATTGACAAAAGGACAATTCAGAAAAGGGTAAAGCAATTGAATGTAAACAATTTAAATGAGGGCCTCGCAGGTATCAGAGAAATTTTCGAGAAAAACAAATCTTGTCTTTTTAGGTGTCCGAAGCTCAGTAGCTAAAACAATTGATATCGCACATCGGGAGACATGACATTCACTAAGCCGTCCACAAAACATAATTTTCGGACACTCCGCAACGAGAGCTTTATTCTGGTCTAAGTAAAAAAAAACTTCTATGGTCGTTGCTTAGTTGGTTAGCGGGTTTAACGTCCCACGGTGATTTAGACTACAAGAGATGCCATAGAGAAGAACTCCCGACAATTTTGGCAACTTGAGGTTCTTAAACGCGCGCTAACATAGCACAACACTCGGGTTCCCTAGGATATTGCCTCCATGGAAATGCGACTGCCGCGGCCAGCTTAGAACCCACGTCTTTTGGGCCAGCATCCGAGTACTGACGGTAAATGAACTTTAGGTATACATTTACCGCGCCTCAATCAGTACTTGCAAGAAAGGGACTTGCGTGAGACGACGGCCTTTGTTGTGGTACTTGATGCGGCCTGTCCACTGACATTTGGCGGTTCTTGAAACTAGTGCGGCGTGCACTAATTGGCGGTTCTTGAAACTATTTACATTTAATGCATCGCCACTCGAGTGTAAATGCAACACAGTGTCCTCATGATTGGCTTGACTCTGACAGTGATTTCTTTTTCTCAGAACCAGCCTGACACAAACTTTCCGTATAAAAACAAACCTTACCGCTCCTCTAGCTCTACATAAACTCTAATCTTACCTAACTTAAACATGTTATGTACCTGCCGTAAGCCCTAATACTGGACCACTCGAACTGTATAGCGCTCGTCCTAAAAAGTGACTTCCTCTTATCGCACGTGTGAGTTCCACATTTAGGAAATACCATAGTGCCTTTTGTCCACGAATAACTTCAGCGCAGTCACCTGTAAGCGGAGTGCACTAGTTGAATTACCGTATAGCCAGTGGAGCGGTGTTTTTCAATATCTATGTAAGTGGGAAAAAGAAACACTTCTAAAAACGAAGCTGCACAAAAAATAGTAGCCTGCAAAAAAAAAACATTTTTAGAAGTAGTAGTTGATCGGCTTGATGCGCTGCTGTTGAAAGTCGTGATGGACTATCTATTAAACTTTCAGGGAGTGAAAACGAATTTCGCACGCTACAATCACTTGAGCGCTCGTAGTTATTCTAACACATAAAAAGATGTTTTCAGGCAAGATAAAATTTCCCTTCTAGATGCATTGAGACATATCATCAATGGCATAGACAGAATGCGTTCTTCTTTGCTTTACGAGTGCTTGGCATAAGTGGGTAAATGAAGTTAAAAAGACACATTTTGCCGCTGTGGAGCGATGACAAACAATGACAGTTTTTATGGAACTTTTTTCATATATAAGAAAACGTGCGTGTACGAGGATTGCAAGGGATCACCGTATAAAAAATTATTATGCATTCATTTTTATGGTTTGTCGTAATCTTATAGAGATTATGTAACTACCGCAAGCCGTGAGACTGGACCACTCTAACTCGCCTTAAGAGGCGACTTTTTTTCACCTTTAAAACATACCATGGCGCCTTTTGTCCCCGAATAACTTCAGCGCAGTCAAGTGTAAGTGGAGTGCACTGTTAGCGGAGTTGCATTACCTTATAGCCAGCGGAGCGGTGTTTTCCAATTATTGTGTAAGTGGGAAAGAAAAATAACACTTCTTAAACGAAGCTCTACTGAACGAAACAGTAGCCCACAAAAAAACTTTTTTTTTTTCAGAAGTAGTAGTTGATAGGCATGATGGGCTGCTCTACGAAGTGGCGGTGGCTGTTCAAAGTGATGGTTGCTGTACAAAGTGGTGCCGTTATTACTTTCTACACATTTTTTTAAAGTTCGGTAAAACACTGTTTAATTATCTGGGATGATAGTGACTTTCTGAAACTGCAACAGTATCATGAAGAATGGGAACTTTTACACTGGTGATTTCTGGTCTATAAAAAACTGTTAATACCAAGAAGTCGTGCCGAATCTTTGTTCATTATAATAAGGTGCCTTAATTCGTAAACTGGTACAAGCACCCGAGTAAGTCTTGAACTTGCCAGTTCTCGAGGCATAAGTCAAGAGTTTGTATTTTGCACTGCCTCAGCATAGCTTTGATAGCGTGGCTTAACAGAATGCAGTCTCTAACGAGGCCGATTGACTCCGGCGATACCCTAAGATATATTGCTTTACGTACCGATATGACAGCTCATCCTATTATTTATGCGTGAGTGACCGACAGGTAAAATTCCTAGATGCAGTGAGTTGATATTCTACCCCAACGAGTGCTTGCGACCAACGAAAGTAGCTAAAGTAATAATAATAATAATAATAATAATAATAATAATAATAATAATAATAATAATAATAATAATAATAATAATAATAATAATTATAATAATAATAATTCTGGCGGTTTTACATTTCGAAACCCCACTATGACGTGCAAATTAACTTCGATATATCAGTCAGCACGAGTTTCACAACAAAGCAATCACCGTCACAGTTTACATAGAAAATCGATAATACAGAAATTTCGCGAGCAATGAAGATGAAATACTTAGGTGCTACTATCACGCATAACTTAAGTTGTAGTGAGCATGTTGGCAACATTTGTGGATCAGCCCAGCAAAAGCTGGGAATGCTGCGACGTAAGTTTAAGCAGGCATCTCTTCATGTGAAGCTCAAGGTTTGCCCTACACGACAATAGTTATAGCACGAGAACAGAACGACGACAAGGAGACAAGAAGGACACGAGCGCTCGGGTCCTTCTTGTCGCTTTGTCGTCGTTCTGTTCTCGCGCTATAACTATCGTCATGCCATACCAACTAGCCCTAACTGCCACACTTCTAACTTACCTTACAGTTGTTCGACCCACCCTGGCATACGCGGGTATAGCGTGGGACGACTACTGACTAACGATAATAAATCAAATAGAGCGAGTGCAGCGTCTTTCTGCTCGCTTTTTTTTTCAAGTACAAAAGGGCTGAGTCAGTTTCTGCATTGATTAATTGGGCAAACCTTCCTAGTTTAGCTTCACGCAGAAAAATAGCTAGACTAAAATTGTTTCATCAACTGTATGATGGTATGCTAAACACTGATCCCGCAGTGTGCTTGTGGATTCCAGGCAAGGTGTCACCTCGATCCTCCCAGCCATACGTTGTTAGACCGTACACGTGTGCAGAGTTGATGCCTGCAAGCATTATTTTTTGCTCAAAACAATTAAAGACAGGAATAAACTGAGCCCGCAAATGTTTGATGAATCGTGTGAATTTGCTCGCGAGTTTCGAAGAGAAGCTTCAGTCACTCGGTGTACAATATCAAAATTATTATGTATAATTTCACTGCTTTTACGCGCTGTGTATACTTGTTTTTAACTTTTTAGTTTGCATTTGACTCTTTGTGTTATGCTATTTGCCTGTACTCTTTCTGTATTGCAAACTGTTCCCACCCTGTAACAGCTGGTAGGGATCACAGTATTGAAAATAAATAACTGAATATATAGTGGAGGACTCCGGGAAATTTGACAGCCTGAGGTTCAGTAATGCGCCTCTTGATCTAAGTACCTGGACCTGTAGCATTTGAAAACACGTCATAGGCTAGTTGAAAAGTTGAAATAATCCAGCCACACGGATCTGCGATGGTTGGTACAAGCCAGAACACTGTGGAAGGCATGGACACAACTTGCGCAGCTTGGCCACCCTTGCCGAGTTGCAGTGGCATGCAAACTCACTGTGCACATTGGCAAGTGTGAGCCCTGAATTCTTGACTTACAAGTTGCTCGAAGAAGACAAGTCAATCATCGTAGTGCTTCGATCACTTCGAGCACATTTCACGTGTTTGTCGGCAGGCTGAAATCTCTGTACACAGAGTCCGTACAACAGGTACCGGATCCTATATGTCCAGTGCTTGCATACCTTTAGAAAGGACGATATCTGGACCGTCTAAGGTGAAACAGTATATGCCTGAAATACTGCGTGAGCTTTAAGCTAATGTTTACCTTTTTTTGTTTGTTTCTTTCCATCTATCTTTTCATCCATTAATCCCCTTCCCCCGGCGTAAGATAGCAAACCGGACGCGCGTCTGGTTGACCTTCCTGTGCTTCGTTCTTCATTCCTTTCCTCCTAAAACATTTCTTTGTATACCAACAAAAAGACAAACGATAGATTTCAGTAATGTTTTTGTTTAATGAAACGGTGCCGAAATACAGGCGAGGTGAACAAAAAGAAGAATTAGGGGGGGGGGGGGTGGGGGAGGGCGACTTATGTAATAGTGCATAAGGCTCCCGAATATGAGACCACTATACATAACTCGTTCAAGAGAAGGCCATTCTTCGAGATTTATGAGAAGTTCATGAGGGCGTCTTTGGTGTATTTTTCAGCTCCGCTTTCGTTCGGGCCTGGCATGACCAGATTCTTATTCGTACAGAGCTGGAGTTAAGCGGCTCCACGTGTGAATCGACAGGCCTAGGAAAACGTGACTGCAGATCCTGCACTTCGGTGATACGTTGCAAGCCAGAGTGCACACTCGGGTAGGGTGACGACGACTTACGTCGGCAAGACCTCGATGTAGCCTGCAGGAGTGGAGAATTGGGCAGAGACCACATACATATTATGTAACAGAAAGGCCGAGTTATGAAACACAATGTGAACAAAGAAAAAAAAGAATATCGGCAATTTTGTTCTCGCCCACGTACGAGCTGAATAATAGATGCACAAGTATTACTATATCGCGAAATGTAACATGCAAGTTGAAGAAATCACATTGTCTAGAAAACTGTGTCTTGTGCCCATTTGTGGGTCACTATACAACATGCTGCCGCACTTCAAATTGCCGCGAAGGAGGCTGTTCTCGCGACGAATGAAGACCGCGCCTGGCGCTCACAGCGATTGCGCGAAACCCGTAGCAGCCATCAGTCCACGGTGAGGCCGAGTGAACGACGCGCGCTCTGATGTTCCCTATAACGCTTTCAGACTCGCCGACTCCATTTGGTACAATCAATTCGAATTTGTAGGTCAGTCAGCGAGTACCTGTTCAAAAATTGCTCTTTAGCTAAAACTGACATTTAGTATCGTCTATAATTATACCGCTAACGTAATACAGAAACGTGAGGTCACGTGTGAACGAAGAAACTGCAGTGGCGGTCACGTAGTTCCCGCACTCCGCTGACGGAGCTTATTCTTTCACTCTGCGGAAGTGGGGCGAATACTTTCGTTCAGTGTCAAACTTTAAAATTTTCTTTATTGGATATTATACTCTCTCATAAAAATAATTTTAAGTAATCAAACAGTGAAGACAATCAAAGTGGTAATAAATAAAAAATAGCGAAAATTCAGTTAGGTCACTAATTTCTCTTTCAAAAACGCGACCACTTTTTTTTTGACTACGATGATCTTGCGCGTCTCAAATTGTAAAAAACCAGTTGCTTACATTGAACAGAAATATTTTGGGCCTGAAAGGGTTGACAGTGCATCGCTGTGTACGTTGGCAAGACCATGATTCGACCGTGTTACTGGTATAGCAGAGCAAATGTAATTAGATTGCACTTCGCGTTCTGAATATCCCATTTTTTTTGCAAATATAGAACACTGAACATAACGCACATTATTCTTGGGATTCTGTGCCTCAAAGCCACGATATCATTAAGAGAGGCCCCGCAGTCGAAGGCACCAGAAATTTCGACCACCTCGAAATCTTTAACATGGACCTAAACTTAAGTTCTCGCAGCCTCTAACATTTCGTCTCTATCAAAATGTGGCCACCGCGGCTGTAATTCGATCCTGCAACGTTCCGCTCAGCATTCAAGCACCATTACTAATGGACCACCGCGGCGTGTGTACATGAACGTGGCTGTTGCGTACGTTCAGAACTGTTAATATGTCTGTTGCCTGTATTAAAAGAACTACGTTCATAATGAGCGACTCACTTGAAAAAGGCATGCCGAGACTGGTCTTGGTTTTGTCGTTTAATTACTAATCAACTCCTTTACCATGCGACAGATCGACAGACCACATGCCTGGATTTCGTCACTGCAACATCACTTTTGAATTAGGGCGAGATGTGATACTATACTTTCGCATACACTATACAAGGTTTAGTGCTTAGTTAAAACGGGACCAAGAAATCTGTCCTATGACTTTATTACTCAATATAGCTAGAAGGAAACTGAAGTAAGTACGCGAGTCATCGCCATGCACAACTTATCGCCATCTTCCGCAATGGGTGAGACAGCAATGAAATTGCGTCGTGTTTCGGCTTCATTCCTTGTTAGCGGAAGACTTCAATATGGCTCCATAGTGGCCTCGGCAACTTATTCCACGTTCATCATAAAGCACAGCGTGTGTCGTCAGAGTCGTTCAGTTCTGGTTCACTCGCGGAGGCAGCGCCTGCACATCACTTCTCTTTTGCGATTACATACAGTTCGAGTGGAATTGAGTGTCAACTGCTGCATGACAGCAATAATATCTCTTTCGCCTGGCTCCCATCAGCAGGAGTGTTTTGATTTCATTCCTTCCGGCCATACTTTTTCCCTGCACCGATGGAGTGGGCTGGATACGCGCACCCGACCGGCGCTTTCCTTTCTCCGTTCTCTCCCTTCACGGCGGCGGTGCTTTGGAAAGGAATTTCAAAGAGCGCGTCAATTAGAGCGAATCGATTCACGGCACCTGTCGCGCGCACTTAATTATTAAGCTCAATGAGTTTTTTTTTCCCCGTAGGTGGCTCAACCGGACCGTGCTTCTCTATGCTAATGGGAGTGCGCGCTGAAGGGCAAGTGAGGGAAGCGCCTATTCCCTTAGCCCCAATCCCTCCTCATGTCAACCCACCATATTTGCTTCGCTTTCACTCTTTTACGCTTCCTGCCTCTGCTATTTGATACAGGAAATAATAAAGAAAAACAAAGAGAATGTCACGTGTCGGAGGCTTGCTGGAAGGGACATAGCGTTGAGCTACTCCTGAAGAGATAATTAGGCACCTTCGGGTTTCTCCGCTGCTTTCTTTCCTTTTTGTTTTTGGCCCCGACGTGTAGTGGTCGCCAAAGTGGACCAGTGCAACGGCATGCGTGATAGGTACGAATAAGCTTCGAACGAAGCGGCTCAATGCCGCTGTCAGTCAGTGCTGCTGGAGCCAGCGACCACGCAAAATAACTTTTACTAGGGCGAAAAGCGGGAATTTAACTCTGGGACCATTGTGAGTGCAAGAACACGTACGTCTGCCATAAATATTGAAAAGCACTTCTAACCTTTACGAATATGCTAGATATTATACTCAGTTGGCAAAAGTGACTCCAGCATTTGGCATTTTAGCATTTAGTATAATCACAACCTCCCTCTTACCCTCTCGGATACAGTTTTCTAATTTCATTCCTAGGCGGGGGCGGCGCCCCACCGCGGTGGTCTAGTGGCTAAGGTGAAATCCCGGGCGTCGCAGCTGCGTTTTCGATGGAGGCGAAAATGCTGTTAATCCGTTAGCTCTGATTTGGGTGCAGAATAAAAAAAACCCAGGTGGTTGAAATTTTTGGAGCCCTCCAGTACGGCGTTTCCCGCAATCATTATGGTGGGCTTGGGGCGTTAAGCCCCCACATATCATCACATAATCATCATAGGCGGGAGCGGTGGGGGGAAGGAAACGGTGGAAAAGTGATTTTTTCAGTTAAAGCCAAAACATAGTTTCGAAGGGAAAGCCTCGAGATATGGCCCACAGTTTAGAGCACCATGGCCAGCCAACAGCAAATATCAAAAATGAACAGACATTCCGCAAATGACGCTCCTAAATTCGATGATGCTGCCCTGTCCTCTACTGAATTCGGACTTCAAATGAGATATGGTAATACTGAACAAAAAGCTTATTGATAATTATGTAAGCAAGCACCTTTTACCACCTTGGCCTGGCGTGGTGCACAATAAAATAGTAAAGTCAATTTAAAAAGCAAACATGAAAAAAGCCAATCACTCGGCAGGTGAAACCCTGCTGTGAATGTGGTATCTGACACCGTGTATGCATAAAACTTTCTTGAATATGACTACGCAGCGTGAAACTGAACAGGCAAAAAAAGAGAAAGAAATACGATGAGCGGTCACCCCACGGAAGAATGCAGTTTTTAGTATTGAAGGTTTCCTGAAAGATGTGTATACGTAGAAACAATTTTCTTGACCTATGTGTGTTGCAGTCGGCTTGAATTCATGCCAAAAAAAGATTGTCATTCGACAAAGGCGCTGTATATTCATTAATGCCTCAAAAGTGTGCGTTTAGTTCGCTACACACAGCTGAACTTTTATTTAGGAGTGCTGTTACAAAATATAGCATGGTCGGCACTACAGAACAAAGATGGCTTACAACTTTACATGTAATCCGCCTTCTTTCACACGTGTAAGCGGCAAAGTAATAGTTAAAACTTAGAAACCAACTGACATATTCCTTTTATCTTTCAGCAGGAAACGGCCGCTGAATACTCTATAATATTGACACACCTCGATGGGCGCATGAAGAGGAAGAGGTAGAAGCGGTCTGGCTCACGAGCAGCTCGGTCGCCGGTTTCTGGCTCTGAGCTGTACCGATCTCAACCCTTTTCCTGTAAATAAACGCGTTCCTTCGTCACAGTTGTGGTGGAAGGTGCTGGGTAAGCCAGCTACTGTCAAGCGAGACCGGAGAGCAGCCGTCTACTAACGACGGAACCGCAAGAGCACGAGCTTCGCCGCAGCCGTCGACTAGCGGGCTTGCCACCACTACCTCAAGATATGAACTTGGACGGAGACATCCAGCAGCCGGTCGCGAGGGCGCCGTCTTTCCACTACCGAGAGCCACGCACATTTACAGGAAAACCTGGCGATGACGTTGAAGAATGGCTCAGCCACTATCAACGGGTGAGCCGAGCCAATGGCTGGAATGCGGCCAGCCAGTTGTCCCACGTGGGTCTATTTCTCGATGGCAGTGCTTTAGTGTGGTTCGAGAATCACGAAGACACCTTGACAACATGGGACCAGTTTATGGAGGAGATCAAGAAGTGCTTTGGCGACCCTGCGACGAAGAAGAAACGTGCAGAGCAAATGTTGTCGCAGAGAGCTCAAGCTTGTGGTGAGACATGCAGAACCTACATTGAGGAGGTACTGAAACTGTGCAAATGTGTGGACACCAACATGACGGAAGAGGACAAGGTGGGCCACATTCTCAAAGGAATTGCGGAAGACGTCTACCACTTCCTTATCGGCAAGGAGAGTCTTGAGTCTGTGGCCGATGTGATTGGGCACTGCCGAACGTTTGAGGCCTTGAAGACTCGCCGCATCACTACGAAGTTCGGACGCCTTGCCAATGTTACGACCGTCGCCACTGTCGATGTGTGCCAAGACTCCGTGCCTACCGACCTTTCGTCAACGATTCGCCTCATTGTACGTGAGGAACTTCGTCGTCACCTTTACGCGCCCTTGAACGCCCGAGAACCACCGTGCGATACACCGTCCACAAGTATCAATGCTACGAGTTTCGAGGAGCGCAGCTATTCCAACCGCGGCCCTCAGCTAAGGGCTCCACCACCGGCGTCTTCTTATGTAGAGCCGCCTCATGCTCCCCACAGTCGTTACGGCTACAACAGCCATCCACCTCCTTTTGCGTCTCAGTGGGAACAGAGCGCCGCGTACCCTCAACATCCAGCGACGTTCCCTATGCCCCGTGAACGGCCCGTCTGCTACCAGTGCGGTGTTCGTGGACATATTGCCCGATTTTGCCCAATGCGACGTAATCCACGTTCGACATTCCCTCAGAGATCCGCGACGTTTGCACAACGAAGCCAACGGCCTGACTACACCTACTGGCCCCCCAACCCAACTGACGAGCGGCACGCCTACCAGCCGATCAACCGGAGTGATTCGCCCGGATCTGTGCGCAGCCTAACGCCGCCCACCACCCGTCCACCTCGGTCACCATCTCCACGGCGCCGGTCACGAATGTCGTCTCCGCCACCGGGAAACTAGCCAGCGCGGCCGACGGAGGTGAGGTCGCTGGACGTACCGATTTTCATCAAAGAATGCCTCCACCAGTTTCTATGCTTCAGAATAAGGTTCAGGTACTTGTTGACGACGTTCCCACGATGGCATTGATAGACACTGGCGCAAGTGTTTCCGTGATGAGTTTAGTTTTTAAGCAACGACTGGGCCGTAAGGTTATGTTTCACTGGGACAAACCTGCCACATTTCGGGCAGTGAGCGGCGCATTCTTGCGTCCTGTCGGCGTCTGCACTGCGTCTGTTAGTGTTGCCGGTAAAACGTTCAAGGCGGAATTCACAGTACTGGCTCAATCAACGCATGACGTTATACTTGGCATAGACTTTTTGCGAGAGTGTCGTGCGACCGTGGATTGTGGAGCAGGTGAGGTTCTGTTGTCTACTCTCGCCCAGCAGCCTGATTGTGAGAAAGGTAACCTCACTGTAGCTAAAGATGTACTTCTGCCAGCGTGGTCCACGGCCAGCGTACAAGTGACCACTTCGGAAACCAACTCGAGTTTGAATTCACGTGACATAGTGATTGAGCCATTGCCTGTAGCTTGTCTCAAGAAAAACATCTTTGTACCACGGTGCATTGTATCTCTCGCAGACGAGACGACTCAATTATGGGTGATAAACAGCTCACCCGAGTCGGTTGTACTACCGGCTGGTATGCGCCTTGCCCTGTTCGAAAAGCAGACCAGCACCTGCATTGGAGCTTTAAGCGATCTTGAAAGGGCGGGTCCGGAAACTTCTGGTATGGAAGCTGAATTTTCAAAAATGGTTAGCAAGTCCATTTCCTCACAGAAGCGCAAAGACCTGGTTGCACTGCTGGCGAGACATGCTAAAGTATTTGATTTTGCACGGACGGTGCCTAGGGCTCAGATACCGACCACGCGCGCTCGTCACAAGATCGATACTGGCTCTGCTCATCCTCTCCGACAAAAGCCCTATCGCGTGTCCGTGTCCGAACGCAAAGTTATTGCTGAACAAGTTGGCGAGATGCTAGCCACTGGTGTAATTCAAGAATCGTCAAGTCCGTGGGCTGCACCTGTTATTTTGGTAAAGAAAAAAGACGGGTCCTGGAGGTTCTGTGTTGATTATCGGCGTCTCAATTCTATAACCAAGAAGGACGTGTACCCCCTCCCCCGCATTGATGACGTAATTGACTGCCTTCATTCAGCTTCCTACTTTTCTTCGGTAGACTTGCGATCCGGGTATTGGCAGATTCCCATGGATCCAGTTGATAAAGAGAAGACGGCTTTTGTAACGCCAGACGGTCTATTTGAATTTAATGTTATGCCGTTCGGCTTGTGTAATGCTCCGGCAACATTTGAACGCTATATGGATACCGTCTTGAGAGGCCTTAAATGGGAAATTTGTTTATGTTACCTGGACGATGTGGTTATTTTTGGACGAACTTTTGAAGAACATAATCATCGCCTTGACGTTGTTCTAACATGTTTGGAGAAAGCCGCCTTGACACTGAACTCAAAAAAATGTCGTTTCGGTGAACGGCAAACACTGGTTTTAGGACACCTTGTGGACAAAGCTGGTGTTAGGCCGGACCCGCAGAAAGTGGACGCCGTCAGCAAGTTTAAGCAGCCACAGTCTATCCGCGAGCTACGAAGCTTTCTGGGCCTATGCTCTTATTTTCGCCGCTTTGTACCTAATTTTGCTGAAAAGGCCCAGCCACTGACTGACTTGCTGCGCAAGGACGTCCCTTTCCACTGGACACCAAATTGTGAGTCAGCGTTTAAGCAACTAAAGTTCGCTCTCACTTCCGGGCCAATACTATGCCACTTCGATCCCTCTGCTTCCACGGAAATCCACACCGATGCCAGTGGAGTTGGTCTCGGCGCGGTGCTTATTCAACGACACAACAATGCTGAACACGTCGTCGCCTATGCAAGCCGGTCCCTGAGCAAGGCAGAGCGTAATTATACGGTTACCGAATTGGAGTGCCTCGCCGTCGTTTTCGCCGTACACAAGTTTCGCCCCTACATCTACGGTCGTCGTTTCTCAGTCATCACCGATCATCACTCTCTTTGCTGGTTGGTGAGCCTACGTGATCCATCTGGTCGACTTGCGCGATGGGCCATACGGTTACAAGAATTTGACTTCACGGTCCGCTACAAGAGCGGTAATCGCCACGCAGACGCTGACTGCCTGTCACGGCTTCCTCTACCAACGACCGAGTGTGAAGCTGATAATTTTGACGATTTTATCACAGCTATTGACTCTCATTTTCCTGACATCGCGGCTTTCCGGACAGCACAGCACGAGGATCATTGCTTAGATCACCTGTTTGCCTCCGCGAATGACCCGGCCAGTTCAAGCTCTTTTGTAGTCCATGACGCCGTCCTTTACAAGAAGAATTATTCTGGCCAAGGCGCCCGTCTGCTTCTGGTAGTTCCACGCGCTCTACGTCCCCAAATTTTTCGGTTCTGCCATGACAACGCAACAAGTGGGCACATGGGCTTCGCCAGAACGTTTCATCGCATCCAGCAAAGGTTTTACTGGCCCAAGATGCGACGCGACACAGAAAAATACGTAGCGGGTTGCGAACAATGTCAACGTCACAAGCGTCCCACGACTACATCACCCGGACCTCTCCATCCCGTACCACCTCCTAGCTCTCCCTTCGAGATTGTTGGTGTCGACCTTCTAGGTCCGTTTCCGCGGTCAGCCAGTGCCAATCGATGGGTCATCGTGTGCGTCGACCACCTGACGCGCTACGCAGAAACTGCGGCTATACCTACTGCAACAGCCTTTCACGTGTCGCAGTTTATGCTTCGGCATATCATTCTCCGTCATGGCCCTCCACGAGTCGTCATTAGCGACCGGGGACGTCAGTTCGTCGCTGACGTCGTTGAAGAGATCCTACGCCTGTCTGCCAGCCAATTCCGCCACGCAACCCCGTATCACCCCCAGACGAATGGCCTCGTAGAGCGGACCAACAGGACGCTAACGAACATGTTGTCAATTTATGTTGATGCCAAGCACAAAAACTGGGACGAAGTACTGCCCTATATCACATACGCCTACAACACCGCGAAACACGAGACAACAGGGTACGCGCCCTTTTTCCTGCTCTACGCCCGCTCCCCTCGCAGTTGCCTCGACACCATTCTGCCTTTTACGTTAGATGTGGAAACATCGGTTGCCGAGTCACTATGCCGCGCTGAAGAAGCCCGTCGCGTCGCACGCCTTCGAACCATTGCATCTCAACAGCGCTCCAAGACCCGGTACGACGCCCACCATCACTCCGTTGCCTACACAAAGGGTGACCTGGTGTGGTTGTGGACACCTGTCCGCAAACGTGGTTTATGCCAAAAGTTTCTGGCCCACTACTCCGGACCATTTGTAGTCATTGACCGTCTCAGTGACGTCACATACGTCATCTCCGGCGTCACAAGCAATGGTCGGCGCTCTAGCAAGACACAGCTGACACACGTCGCGCGCCTCAAGCCATATCACCACCAACCTTCCTATTGACTCGCCCAGTGGGCATCGTCTGCGAACGGGGGAAATGACACACCTCGATGGGCGCATGAAGAGGAAGAGGTAGAAGCGGTCTGGCTCACGAGCAGCTCGGTCGCCGGTTTCTGGCTCTGAGCTGTACCGATCTCAACCCTTTTCCTGTAAATAAACGCGTTCCTTCGTCACAATATGCATCCGAATACTCATCTGCTTCCACGACAAGAATTATCCAAAGGAAATCACAACAGAACGACGGCAAATGTTCTGGGGCGCTAAGCAAAAAGCAGCCGCATAGTAGAACATGCCTGCGCGAGCTCACGGCTATATAGAACTGCTGCGCAGGTTAACAGTGAGAGCTAGCATGCGAAGTGGCAGATGCCACCCCAAACAAGTCATTCATCTGATTGAATCTACAAGAGACGACGGTGTGACCACAATGGGAGAAGAACCAGCGAGCGGGTTGGAGCATATTAGTTCATACCTTCAGCTCGTCGTATCTCTTGGAGCTTCTTGTCGTGCGGCAGCGTGCCAGTCGTGCTGAGGAGCTGCACGAGAGGTGGACTGGCGGGTTTCCGAAAGGATACGCGTCCCTTGCTATGGACAGCTGTCGTGACACGAACGTAGTTGGCGTCCTCATATGACGCATCGGCGTGGCTGCCCAGGCGCTCGGGGTCCGACTGGCAGGGCCGGCCCAGCTGCGGCGACGAAAGCACGCTGCCGTTGCTGAGCGAGCTGCTGGAACGCTCGAAGGCTGGCAGGACGTAGTTGAGGTCTCCGCCACCGCTGCAGCTGCGCGCCTCATCAGGGCTCTGAGGCTGGCGCCGCCACGCGGGGGGCATCGACAGGGACGGAGTAGCTGGTGCAGAACGGCCTGCAACATTTGCCGTTAAAATGTACCTTTCTCACGCACCTCTGTCACCGAGGGTCTCAGGGGAAAAAATCAAACGCTTCAATTGAACAGTGAACCTCTACAGAGGGGAAGGTTTGGCTGCTGTGATAACTTGCTCCAGGGCAGAACTGAGCGTGGCGCATGTCGGTTTACTGCAGCCCAGATTAGCTTACAGCAAAAAAATGTCGATACGCTTCGAACATGCTGTTGTTCCTGTACGGTAAGCACGCTACTACCATTCGCACTGACCAAAGCTGTGGAAGGGAAAACGCCCAAATAATTGCATAACAAAGGCCTAAAATTTGTAGCCATTTCGACTACACGGCTTATATGGCAATAAATTATATACAACAGCATTTTTAAGGCACTACAGCGCTGATCGTAATACTACAAAGTTCGCTTATCAATCGTAACCTAAAGTCCGCGCACAATATTCGGAAGACGGAACGACTAAAGTAAATAGGGGCGGGTTACTTTGCAAGAAAAACACAATATCTTCATCGGTAACTCCTGCTACTTAAAGGGGCCCTGAAACGCTTTTTTTTAAGTAACCATGGAATGAATTCAGTGGAAAAGCTTATTGCCTCATGATTTCAACGCTGCAAAACATCAAGAATCCCTCCAGTGCGTGTGAGTTACAAACATTTATCACACACTGCAATTGCATCCTCTCTTCTCTCGTCCCGACAAAAGCGCTGGAAACTAAGCAGGGAAAGATGGCAGGGGCAAAGAGAATACGTAACGCACACTTCGTGACCTTGAGCACTTTTTTATTTATGTCTTTGAATGCGCGGCTTTCTCAGTGAAATCGCGCGCGCACTCATGGACAAGTCACAGCCTCCCGCGACGACCTTTGTAGTGACCGAGTGCGCTGTGCTCAAATAATCAAAAAAGCCATTGTCTGTTAGATGGGCTTTCTACAAGTGATTTTAAAGCGCCTTTTGTTATTTGTCGACAGAAGGGAAAGCGATTTTCTGCTGACTTTGATAAATTATTGTGAACTCCTCCAGGCCTCGTGCTGCGCTGTAATATTTGGCTCGCATGTTGTTGGGAGCTTCTACTACCGATCGGCAGCATTTTCTGACCATTCTCCAAAAGTGTTGCAGGGCCCTTTTAAGTACGGTTCGAAATTGCACACACGCAAAGAAATCTCATATTGTTAGTCTTATGTCCAGATGGGAAAAACAGTCTGCCTGTACACGATTTTTTTCTGGCCGAATTACGTACATGACAAAAAGCACGTCCGTGATATTACACGTACAGGTGACTGCATACATCCGGCATAATATTCCCGTTGGCTTCACATACTGTGCCGGATATTTTTGGAGACCTTGTCGCAGGAGTGGCAATACATAAAATGTTTACAATGTGTCCAAAAGGACGAACACATTACAGAGAAACAGTCCAACGCTGGATGACATCTTAACAACAGCTTCAAAAATGCAGTGTTCAGATTACACGTGAATAAATACAAAAATATAATACCCTAATTAGAACAAAAATACCGCCAATTTATTCAGCAAAGGATTGCACTGATCTCGTCATTCTATCGTATATAAATTGAAAATGCCCAGCAGTGCGCTTGCCAACAAGCTTCGGCAACACGATGCATATAGCTACAGGAAGCGTCAAAGAGTTTCTCAGCGAAGTAGCCATGGTCCTTGCCAGGGTTGCATTTGGGGTACGGGCGATGGTGATAAAGATGGCAGAGAATAGATGCTCACCGAGTCTGACGCAGGAAGAGCGCTGGGCGACGGCACGCGACTGGCACCAGGAGGCAAGTGCCGCCTTACGTGCGGCCCACAGCGACACGGCCCGCTTCAGTTCTCGTATCACCTCCTGGCCCCGATGAGTGCGAAACTGGAACGCCCCTTCACCCGTGCAACACCGCCTGCAAAGGACCAAAGCGCCGCGTGGATGCATCCGATTTGCGATGCTCATCATATAGTTGCGGAGCCACAAAGGTCTCGATTTTAGTGAGTCTGTATGTCCAGCCAGTTAGATGTTATCTGAGGCTCCTAGATAACTGAAGGTCACGTCAATCGTGAGTCAGCTACGATTGTTCGTCTGAAAACTAACGGGTAACAGTGAGACTTGACTTCGCCAACATGCAATGAAGCATTTTGTGTGCGCGTATTAGTGTTGCATCAGTGTCAGCGATTGCTTAGACACAGTTGTCATTGTAGTAATGTGATAACGATTGCGCGAAACGTGCTTATTCTATGAAAAAATTCACGAACGTTGTCCTTATTTCGCCGTCGTGGTATTCGTCTAGTCCATCATCTCAAGTGTTCGTCTTGCGCGGGTTGTACGCACGTTAAGGCTGGTATACAACCAGCACTCGTCTTCTCTTTTCTGTTCGCGGTTTCGTTTACTGTTCGCGGTTTCGTTGACTTTTTTTGAAAACGAACAAACCTGGTCCAAAAATGAATTCTGCTGCAACGAACAATATGATTTTTTTCTCCAGAAATTGAGTCTCGAATTATCTATAGAACTTACCGCACCACAAGTATAAACAGAAATCGTAAATCAAGCACTGCGGCATGCCTAGGCGACTGCCATTACAGTTATCACGGACGTTGCTTTGCTTTCTGTTCACAGCAGGACCGACCGATAAATAATACGATTTGCTCTTTTTGGTAGCCTTGGTACACGGCTTTTTACTGCGATAAGTGCACCAATGCGTGCAAACTAAAATGAATTGAGAAACGAAAGTAGGAGGTTAATTTCGATAAAAAAATGGGAGCCTAAAAACGTACTACCAACATGCTAGAGTGCAAACGGATACTGAAGACTTGACTTGCAGGTAAACGTTGACACCATAGACAAAAGCCTCCAACAAGAAAAATAATTAGACAAAAGAGACTCCCCAGAGACAAAACCCTTCCCCAATGTCTTCTCTTTCTGAGCCTTGAGCGGCGGCTTTCCGTAACAGTAAATACTGAAAAAAAAAGATACAGCCCTTCGTCAATAAAATCAACTGAAGGGTTGACTGCCTCATTCAAATAATAATGATTGTTCCCTGAAACTACCAGTGGATCCACAATATTTCAGGCGTATTCCTTAATTGATTGATGACTGACTAAAAATATTGTATCGTTTTCACTGAGAACTTAGGTTTGCAAATTCTGACAACAACATTTTGTTCCTGCCCAGGTGATACGTTACGAAACAAGATACTTTGGGTGTGACAAAAAAAACGGCAATACCGGACAATACATTGGTTGATGGGCACGCAAGGGACAAGATGAGCTTTGCTTCATCCTTATCTATAGAAAGCGCTTTGTCAACACTCAATATATCATAAGTATAGCGACTTTCACCATGAGGGCGTTCGTTTTCATTTGCCCGGGCTATGAGGTCACTTTATCTCGGTGGAATAATCAAGTTCTGTAGCGGGCTACCAATACAGCCTCTATACCCTGTGAACTGCGAGTCCCTGTGTAAAACATACAAACTATCAAGTTAATAATACTGATAACACGCTCTGAAGTTTTGCAATTTAATGTATTTTGAAGAAGTGCGTCTAGTATGCGCAAAATATTGCAGTTTTTTTTTCTTTCTTCCTGTCTATAGCACATAACATCCTATCAGGAAACAAAAAAAAAACTTGCTTTGAGCGCTTATGCCAGAATTGATTTAATTACCTCACGATGATTTGTAGGCAGCGCATCATTTCCCGAAGCAGTGGCATCCACTTCATTAAACTGCTACAAGAATGATTTTTCATCGTTTACAGTACACATGCGCCGAAACTTCCAAAGGGTGGGTCGAGGCGAGCGACACATATTTCATTCTGAACTGGTAGTGTTTACGTAAATTTTTTTCGAGCGAGCTGCCACCTCAATGCTAACTCACTTCGATCATAGTCTGCATGCACTTCAATCTCGTTCTACAAATCCAGGCTAGCTGACCTTTTCCGTATACAACCGGTCGCGCGGCCGATACGTGGCTGGACCTGGTATACTATATTTCGCCGAAAATCACATTCGGTAAGCAGCTTTGAAAATAATAGCCGGTAATATAAGCCATAACATTCAGGAAAAGATCAACCTGACCAATTATCATTCTGGACATATAAGATAAGCTTGGGTTGCCTGTTAATGGCATAAATCAACGACGAACGAGTGCCCCTACAGACAAAAAAAGCTTTTACGCTGTATAAGTGAGGAAACTGGGTTGATCCTAATTCTCTGCGTATTGTTAGTGAAGGCGGTCAAGAAATGGCAACAATTACGCGCAGCATCAACTAACTTAACGTCTCAAAGGCTAATAAATAAATAGCGGAGTTTGGGGGCACGAGTTTTAGCTTGGCCATTGTCGAACATTCCAGAAGGAAAGTGGCATCCTCAGCTTTTCCAAGGTGGTTGACAGCCGGTCTTACTCTCCACATCACAGACTTCGATTACGACATCCATATCTTAGCCGTTGCTGTCCTCTTCTCGACACAGCTTCCCCTTCACGTCAATAACTATTCTCTACAGCAGGCTCAACTCAACTTCGTCAAGGCCGCATAACCATCCGCCCATTTCTGAACCACGCTCACTAAACCTGGAAATAACAGCAGAGAACTTGTGTTTTTTACTTGAACCACTCCTTCACTTCACTTGAACCACTCCTGTACCATTCTGTTTAAGGGTCACATTTGTGGTGTCCTCGACTGAGAGGTTGTTTTTGCACCCCCTTTTCCACTTTTTTTCCCAACTCGAGCATCTCATCTCGCACGCTAGGCTGCCTTATCAATCACTAAGCGTTGTTCATTCTCTCCCTCTCGTCAGCCTTCGCTCTCGAAGCTAGTTGAGTAAATGTCGACGACGAAACTCCAGGGGCTTTCATCGGCCTGGAGCAGCTCCGGTGTTGAGATACAATTTCCACGGCGCGTTGTCTACAGCTGTGACGTCTGCTGGTCAGGAGAGTCGAGACATTCGCGTTCCAAACAAGCTGCATGGGAAAGGTTT